CCACTGACAGCTCGCTGTGTGCATTTCGTGCGTGCACGCCCAGGAGGCCAGGGCAGCATACCTCAAAATGCGACTCATCAATTCTGCGCCACACGTTGCTCGTGAGCATGAGGCGCTCGTCCTCCGCGAGGCCACGGTCCTGGCCTATGACCGGCGGAAGGCGCTTCGCCTCGCGGGAATGCCTGGTAGCTAGGCACCACCACAAATGTGTAGTGGTCGGTGGGGTTTGGAACGTGGCGCACCTCGCAAAGGCGCGGCGCGTCCTGCTCGGGGTGGCTGAGCCGGTTACGGCTGGGTTCCCACATCCCGCTTCTTGAGACGCGGAACAATTCGCACGTGGACCGCTCGGTTCGCGGCTCGCGCCCAGCGGGTGCATGTTTCGATCGAAAACTGGACACAGCGGCACGCTCGAACGTACCTCTTGGACAGACCTCGCGTGGCGCTGTTGACGGCACCGTTCGCTCTTGGGAGCATGGAAGTTAAGAGCTGCTTACGTTGCCGTTCGCTGTTGGAAGCCTTGGCGCACAATGTTTCTAACCTCACTGCTCACTCACAGGGGGGCCTCTTGAAAGGCTCTTGGAGGCATCATGAGGGCCTCAAGGGGCCTCTTGGGGGTGTTTTGGGTGGTTCGGAGGCCCTCTTGGGCCGTCCCGGGGTCCTCTTGGACCATCCTGGGGTGCTTCAACCAGCTTGCCATGTTTTTTACCTAACAGCGAAGACTGATAGGTTTCTAGTGGGCTCAAAAGAAGGCATCTTGACTCCCCAGCAGGGTCTGGGCGGGTGCCGGGAAAAGCCGAGGAAACTGGGGACTCCCCAGGACTCCTATAGATTCCTAAAATTTCCTATGGATTCCTACACTTCGCGTTCCCAGAACACCATTCCCAGGCCACATTTTGAATGCCCGGAGCCAACTGGGGCCACTTCGTGTTCTTCGTCTTCCCAGAACACCATTCCCAGGCCACATTTTGAATGCCCGGAGCCAGCTGTAGGCCACTTCGTGTTCTTCGTGTTCCCAGAACACTATTCCCAGGCCACATTTTGAATGCCCGGAGCCAACTGTAGGCCACTTCGTGTTCTTCGTCTTCCCAGAACACCATTCCCAGGCCACATTTTGAATGCCCGCAGCCAGTTGTAGGCCACTTCGTGTTCTTCGTGTTCCCAGAACACCACTCCCAGGCCACATTTTGAATGCCCGGAACCAACTGTAGGCCACATCGTGTTCTTCGTGTTCCCAGAACATTATTCCCAGGCCACATTTTGAATGCCCGGAGCCAACTGTAGGCCACTGCGTGTTCTTCGTGTTCCCGGAACAACGCTTCCAGGCCACATTTTGAATGCCCGGAGCCAACTATAGGCCACTTCGTGTTCTTCGTCTTCCCAGAACACCATTCCTGCACAAGATTTCGATTGCCCGGAGCCAACTGTGAGGCTGAGGCTAAGGCAGGCTGAGGCTGGGGCAGGCTGAGACTGAGGCTGAAGCAGGCTGAGGCTGAGGCTGAGGCTGATGCAGGCTGAGGCTGAGAGGCTGACGCTGAGGCTGAGGCAGGCTGAGGCTGAGGCTGAGGCCGAGGCAGGCTGAGGCTGACGCTGTGGCTGTGGCTGAGGCTGTGGCTGAGGCAAGCTGCGGCTGAGGCAGGCGGAGGCTGAGGCTGATGCAGGCTGAGGCTGAGGCAGGCTGAGGCTGAGGCTGAGGCTGAGGCTGAGGCTGAGGCTGAGGCCGAGGCAGGCTGAGGCTGAGGCTGAGGCTGATGCTGAGGCAGGCTGAGGCTGAGGCTGAGGCTGAGGAGGCAGGCTGAGGCTGAGGCAGGCTGAGGCTGAGGCAGGCTGAGGCTGAGGCCGAGGCAGGCTCAGGCCGAGACAGGCTGAGGCTGAGACTGAGGCTGAGGCTGAGGATGAGGCCGAGGCAGGCCGAAGCTGAGACAAGGTGAGGCTGAATGGGGGGGGGAAGGGGGGGGGGGGGAGGAGGGGAGGCTGAGGCAGGCTGAGGCCGAGGCAGGCTGAGGCCGAGGCAGGCTGAGGCTGAGGCTGAGGCAAGCCGAGGCAGGCTGAGGCTGAGGCTGAGGCTGAGGCTGAGGCAGGCTGAGGCTGAGGCAGGCTGAGGCTGACGCAGGCTGAGGCCGAGGCAGGCTAAGGCTGAGGCAGGCTGAGGCTGAGGCCGAGGCAGGCTGAGGCTGAGGCTGAGGCAAGCAGAGGCAGGCTGAGGCTGAGGCTGAAACTGAGGCAGGCTGAGGCATCCGTAGGAATCCATAGGAATCCTGAGGAATCCTTAGGAATCCCTAGGCATCCTTAGGAATCCGTAGGAATCCTTGGGAATCCGTAGGCATAGTGAAGCATCCGCAGGAATCCTTAGGAACCCGTCGGATTCCCCAGGAATCCTTAGGAATCCCTGGGAATCCCTAGGAATCAGGATTCCTGAGGATTCCTATGGATTCCTAAGGATGCCTAAGGATGCCTTAGGAATCCCTAGGAATCCTTAGGATTCTATTGGATCCTAAGGCCGTTGCCACTGCGACTGTCATTGCGAATGCGACTGCGATTGCGAGAACAGCAGAATTCTACAACTGGATTCTGACCTGAATCTTGAGGGGAATGTTTCCAGATATGCTTATACACATCGCTGTTAGGTTGCTTTGCCGGGATAATATGCCACTGTTCGCTCACGGAGGGCTTCTTGAAGGCCTCTCAGAAGCATCTTGAAGGCATGTGGGGGACTCTTGGAAATCGTTTGGGTCGTTGGGGGGCGCCTCCTGGGCCAGCCCAGGGCCCTCTTGGACCGTTTAGGGGGCTTCGACCAGCTTCGGGCTCGTATGGGGCCCTCGTGGGAGCCTCCCGTGGCCCCCTTGGGGCTCTCCTGGGAACCTGTTGGAGCTCTGTTGGGCCCTCCTTGGGCCGACTTGGGGCTCTCTTGGGCCGTTTTGAAATCCTCGTGGGCCGCTTTGGCGCCCTATCGGGAGCTTATTGGGACGTCTGGGGGCGATCTCAAAGGCACCCAGGGCCGTCTTAGGCAGTCCTTGGCCCGCAAGGAGGGGAACAAACAACAACAAAAAACGCTCAAACTCCAAACGATAACTTATGTGCGTTGCCTCCTCCCTGAGGAGCGTCTTGGGAATGCTCTTGGGAGCCTCTCGGGGCGTCTTGGGAGCCCCTTGGGCCGTGACGAAGCCATCAATAGCTCTCCGGGAACGCTCTTGGACCGTCTTCGGGTCATCTTGGGTCTCTCTGAATCCGTCTTGGGGGCGTCTTTCGCCGTCTTGGGAAGCGGCGGCGGGCGGAAGCAGGGCGTCGTGTGGGAGGGCGGGTCATGGTGGAGGCCTCCGGGACACGGCCGGAAGATGTGAAGCCCACGGTCGCATCGCAGCTCGGAGGGCGAGTTGATACAACGGCGGCGACACAACAACGGCCAAATCTGGTCAGAATCGGTCCCGGACCCCTCGGAGGGTTCGAACGCCAATGTTTTCCAAACTGCTTCCAGCCGTGGTAGCGAAGCGGCCTCCGAAAGCCCAAAAGGCAGGTAGAGGCTCGGAGAGGCATCTGGAAGACGTCTTAGATGCCTCTTGGGGGTCTTCGGGGTCGTTTCTTCTCTCCGCAGGAACTATTCGCAACTACCACGTGAGGGCCTTGCCACAGCGGCGGCGGCCACCTCACGTCCTTGCACTCTCGCAGCCAAACGCTGCTGCGCAACGTGAGCACGGGGCGCCTCGGCGAAAGAACGCACCTGCCGTGACCTGCGAGAGATCCTCACGGCACTGCGGGTGCAATCCTGAATAGTACAACCAAGAGTCGAGCTGGCATCTGCAAGTTTGTGCTGCAAGCACTCCTTCCCGAGCAAATGGCACCTGGAGGCTGTATGCCCCGCAATCGGTGCAAAAGAAAAGCTGCTTGGAAAGATGCACGACGGTGAGGGGAAACGTCAGCAGCGGTCGGAACTCCGCGCGGATTTCATTGTCCGGCGTTGACCTCCTGGCGACGCCTACGGCGCCTATTCCCAGGAGGAGCTGGTCACCCGAGTCGACGACCCTCCAGCAGCATCCGACAGCGAGGTATCAGAACGGCACAACAGCATCAACAGCACCAACGGCAGAAAGAAACACTCCGAACCTGCGTGCATGCAGGTTCGAAAAACACTCTGAATCTGCAGGAGGGGAAACATAACAACTTAGAGCAATTGGCTAACCATCGACCGCGTTCAGGTAAAAGGGCTAGCCAGAAATTGGAGGTTGGGCTCGCGCCTGCATGGCAGGCTCGTCCAGGTACCGGTCGCCACCGAATCGCACGGCCCAAGAAGAAGAAGAAGAAGAAGAAGAAACAGATGCTCAACCCGCGTGCCTGCAGCAATCAGAAGGCCCCTCGGGCAACAGGATAAGAATACACGCCGGCGCGCTGCCCAGATCTGCCGGGTCACGCTTGGGAGGAAATGCAAATACGCGCTACCCGGATATGCAGCCTCACAGCTGCAAAAACACAAACGGGGATACGCGCTGCCCGGATCTGCCTGGTCACTCTTGGGAGGAATCGTAGATATGCGCTGCCTGGATGATTCGGTCACGCATGGACGGAAATGCAGATATGCCCAGAACATGGAGGAAACAACGAGGATATGCGCTGCCCGAATGTGCCGGGCCACGCATCGGAAAACACCAACGGGGATGCGCGCTGCCAGGATCTGCCGGGTGACGTCAGGGAGAAAATTGGGATGAACGCTGCCCAGAACTGCTGGGCCACGCGCGGGCGGAAATGTGGAAGCGCGCCGCCTGGCCGCTCGCCGTCTCTGCCTCTGATGCAAGATGTTGTTCACTGCTTCTCCACATTTCTTCCAGCGAGAATCGTCTGGGGAGGGACACACGAAGCGTCAATCACTGCTCCTGGCTGACAGCAGCTGGGATATTGTCGCCGTCGCCCTGCTCACTGTTTCCCTCCTGCAGGTCGTGCTCTTCCCGCTCCTTAGGGTCCTCCTGCTCCTCGGAGCGGGGGACGCCAAACACCACCTCCGAGATCTGCGCCTAGATGGTCCGCTCGGAAGCGCCTACGGAGAATTGAACTGCGCCCTGCTGGAAGAACGAGCGGATCCTCGTTCCTGGCACCTGCCCCTGCGACGCCTCCTGCACTTGTGGAAGCACGTCCTTCTCCGCTAACAGTTTCGGGACCTTCTCGCTGTAGAACTCGTCGGCGGGGAACTGGAAACCGGGTAAAGACATGGAGATCGCGGAGGGAGGTGGCAAACCCGCATTCTCGGCCTTCTCGATCGACAGAACGATCTGCTCGATCGCCGTGATCTGTTCGGGGGCTGCGAGCGTTCCTTGTGAGAGCAGGACCAGCAGCGCGCGCGAGGCTTCCACTGCCCGGAGCATCGCGCCGTCGTCCCTGACATACTCGTCGATAACCCGTACCCCCTCGGGGACGAAGTCCTTCAGCTGAGGCTAGGATGAGGACGGTAACCAAAGCCTCGACGTCGCCGAGCTCTGAGGAGATCAAGACTGCCCTGGGCTTCATGGGAAGGGGCTCGGCTCTGGCCAAAATATATGTCTCAATCCCTTCGGCACTCACTGCCTCGCTGTCGCTGAGGAAGTCGGAAACGTGCTGGAAGCGAGCGATTCCTCTCACGTCACTGCGCAAGTGGGGACTTTGTTGACGTCGTGGCTCATATGGCTGCGGTACGCAGAGGCCACACTGTCGTTCGTGATGCCGAAGGGGTTCAGAGAGCAGCTGCTCAAGTCTAAGTTCTTGGCCATGTCCGCATAAGCCTTTTCATTCGGCGGGACGAAACTGTCCGTAACGACCGCAGTGATCTGCTTGCGCCACATGAATGCAGTGACGATCTCGCCAGCGCACCACGGCATGCTCAGAGTGTCCCTCGTCAAAGAGACGACCAGGTGGTGAACTTGCGTTTTGACTGTGTCGAACAACGAATCCAATTGCGTGAGGTCATCCGTGTCGGTGAAGACCGGCCTGCCTGTCTTGGACGTCAGCATCATCTTCAGCAGCCGTGCCTGCGCCTGGGCGCCCACCCTGTGATGACAAAAGAAGGAGGGATACATGGGGAAGGGCTTGAAGTAGTAGTACACCGAGGCCATGATGGCGACAACGCCGACGGCAAAGAAGAAGCCGACGAACACGGAGGCAAAGGCTGGGATCGAGGAATTCTCGACGCTCACGTTCGCTGCCGTCGCTCCGCAGATGAGGACCATCAGCAGCGTGGAGCTGCAGGCCGCGTCGGCGTAGTTGGCGGGCGCCACCTTCCAGGGGGCGAGCTCCACCGGCAGCACCATGGTGGCAATGATGAGGATGGAAATGAACATGACCTGAGCGGCGACGTCGGACTCAATAATGACGGGCACGAGGCAGAGGGGCAAATTCCGTACGAACATGGTCAAACCGTACAAAAATAACGAGAAAACTTGAAACGAAAGAAGAGGAAACGGAAAGAGGCGAACCCGAAAAATGAGTATCGGCGCCCACCGCGACTGCATACTTCGGGTACATCAGAGTGCCGTAGAGCACGAACGGCAAGAAAGGCAAGGGTACCATGGCCATGGTGAGGATGCCAACCGCTAGCATCGCGTAATGATCGCTACTCTCGAAGTAGAGGACGGCCGGATCGCTCACGAGCGAAGTGCCAGCGTCGTTCGGATGGTCGTAAACCACCAGGGGGGCCCTTGCTGAGAGCACTATCGAGATGAAGAATACCTGAAAGACTGTGCCGATGGTGTTGACAGCCTCCCTGAAATGCTTCGTCTAGGGATCGAAGTGTTTTTGACCAACAAGGTGGCGAATATCCACGGGATCGCGAGCGGGGCAACAAATTGCCGAAGTGCGTAATTCGACGTAGGGTTGAAACCCATTGAACAGGATATGCGCGAAGCCTTGAGATCAAAGATTATCAAGGACATGATGTTGAGCATGCCCCGCAACGGTTCGAACCACTCCAGGCTGAACAAAAGTGTAGACCGAAAATGTCTGGAGGCCGAAGATCATCTGGCTAGCCATGATGACACACATCAGAGTCGAGCTCGTTTGCATCAGTCAGTTCCGGTTCACGGATATGGTTCCAACACAAACTGCCACGATGGCAATGACGCATGCCAAGACCACAAGCCACGTGGCGTTCGTTTCACGAGCGTGGCACTCGTCACCTTGCGCAAGCGACCTCGCCGCTATCACGCCCCCTGGCGCAGGTAGCGGGCGCGCCACCTGGCCAATGGTTCTTGACCAGACACTTGAACACCCTCAGCAAATCGTCGAGCCAGGTCATGTAACCCTCCTCGACCACCGGGAAAGGCTGATCGTCATCTGAAGCCGCTTTCAGGCTACCGTCGACGGCGAAGAAGTTCGAGAAGGTGCTCCCGAACGCGCACTGCATGCCGTCCGGACACACGGCGCACGGGCCGTCCAGGCCGCCGCCCTCCATCAGGTAGGTCCCCTCGGCGCACTTGCAGCTCTCCTTGTCTGTGGCCGCCCTCTCGATGGTTGTCATGCCCGCGGGGCACGTCTCGCAGGTGTAGTTGCCGCCTGGGAACATGTAGGTGTCCAACGCACACGACATGCAAGCGGACTGCCCTGGAAGCTCCGTGAAGCGCCCGGCGCTGCAGGCCAGGCAACTCCCCTGCCCGGGCAGCGGCTGGTGCTCGTTCAGGGGGCACATGGAGCAGCTGTTCGAGCCGTGCTCCGTGGTGGCGAAGCCCTGGGGGCACGGCTCGCACGTCGTCTGGCCCGTCTCGTTCGTGAAGAAGCCAGGAGGACAAGGGTCGCAAGGACTGGACTCGTCGTTGTTCTCAGCCGTGCCGACCGTGCAATTTTTGCATGCGTAGCCAGTCTTGTCCGTCCCAAAGTCGTTGGTGTATGGCCATGAGATCAAGCACGACCCGACAGCGCAGCTGTCGGGAGGTGCCGGCACATAGTCCACAGCCAGGTTCCCTCGAGTCGTCACGCTGACACCAATGCGGACACTCATATCGGCGTGCTGGTCCCTGTTCACAGTCACGTACCCTGTTTCCTTGACGAGCTCCTGTCCATTGTCGCTGAAGCCGAACAGTAACAAATCCCCAGAGACGTTCCATGCGTTGTTATGCACGTTCATGTACAAGTCGCGCTTGAACGCCGAGTAGGAGCCGTCGACGATGCTCTCGCTGTCGGGTGCAATCTTGGCCAAGAGCGTCTCTGTCACCCCCAGCTCCGTGTCCGTTGCGATCGCAATGGCAGCGACTGTGTCGGTGAACTGGGCGTAGTAGGCGTACCCGAAATATGCGATGCCCTCTGTGTCTGCGAGCAGCCACTGCAGCAGGAGATGGTCATCCTCCGAGGGCATGACGCAATTCGAAGTCCGCTGCGACTGAATGTAGAGGTCCGCGGCATCCTCGTCGAAGCCCTCAAGATTATGCTAATCGTCGGCGTCGCAAACCGAGAAATACTCTGTCCCCCCGAAGTCGCCCAGGACCGTCTCCCCGAAGAAACCGTGTCGCAGACTGGTCGCCGGCGCCGTAAGGGTTGATCGGCGTCTCCTCGCACCTGGCATCCAAGTCGCTCCACTCCTTGACAGCATTGTCGTCCATGTTGGGCACGCACGATGCAGTGGATACGCCGTCATTCTCCAGCTCTGCATCGCTCCAGTCGGAGAAGATCCAGCGCAGCTGTGCGAGCGTTAGCCCTCTGGTGGTGTTGATGCACGTGTGAGCCGCGCCATCCTTCTTGACAGCCACTGCCAGACCGTCTATGGCCACCATGATCTGCGTGACCCGGTTCCCGCTCTCGAGGCACTCGTAGGTGTACCCGTCGTCCAGCAACTGCGCTTCTGAGGTCTTCCACCCGCGAGGCATGTCGCCGATATCCACGTGCTCCGGGTCGCTCGTTGGCAGACACACGCGCCGTGCCCCGGAGCCGTGCCCCGGAGCTCGAGCCGCCCCCCTCGAGCATGATCGAGTAGTTCAGGAGCAGCGCCTTCTGCCACTGCTCCGCCACAGGCTTCACCGTGGACGAGCTGGCGATGCGACGGTGTGGCAGCGCGGAGGCTTCTGCGCGCGGGGCACAGAGGAGGAGCAGCAGGGTCGATGTCAGCACCATCTCCACGGCGCTCGAGCAAGGTCCACGGTTGTCTGAACCAGGGAGTAAGACGAACAGAACGCCACGGCTGAGCCAACACTTGAGCCAAATGGCTACGGAGCGGTCTTCGGGGCCGTTTTGGGGCCCTCTTGGGCCGTCCAGGGGCCCTCTTGGGCCGTCCTGGGGCCCTCTTGGACCGTCTTGGGGGGCTTGGGCCAGCTTGGGGCGCCCCGCAGGGCCCTCCTTGGCAGCCTCCTGTGGCCCCATTGAAGTTCTCCTGGGAGCTTCTTGGGCCGCTGTGGGGCCCGCCTTGGCCCGTCTTGGGGCTGTCGTGGGCCGTCTTGAGGCTCTCTTGGGATGTTCTCAGGGCCTCTAGGGAGCCTCTGGGGACGTGAAAAGGCGACCGCAGAGGCCCGATAGGACGTCTTTTGCAGTTTTTGCCTCGAAAAGCGCGAAGCACATCTATGGAATTTGCCTCTTGGGTCCCTCTTGAAGGTCCTCGTGGGGGCCTCTTGGGGCGTCTGGGGGCCTTCCGAGGCCGTCTCGGGGCCACGTTCGCCCCTCCTGGAGCGCTCTTGGGTCGTCTTGGGGCCTCTGGGGCGTCTCTTGGACCGTCTTGGAGATGTCTTAAGCCGTCTTGGGAACCTCTTGGGTGTCTCTTGGACCGTCCTGGGCCGAAAAAGCCCCCGGAGGGCGCGTTAGAAAATCTGCGCGGTCCACCCACACACCCCACCCCCCCCCTCATTGGGGCTAAAACCCTGTGCAGAACTTCTCTCGCTGGCGCTCTTCCCGTCACCTGGACCAACTGGAACGGAAATAGCGCTTGAGGAACTTGCCCGAAAAATGGCACATAGCACCATTCCCTCCATTCTGAGCCTTGGCGTTAAGATGTTCAATGTCACAGTTCGCTCTTGAGAGTCTTGGTGTGAAGAGTCGTTTCACGTCATCGCTCGCTCTTGAGAGCCTCGGAGTTAAGAGATTATTGAGTCACCGTGCGCTGGGAGCCTTGGGTTCAAAGCTGTGTACGTCATCTCCCGCTCTGAGCAGACTTGGCGTTAAGAACGATTTACGTCACCGTTCGCTTTGGGGAGCCGTGGCGTTAAGAGCTCTCTGCGCCACTGCTCGCTCTTGAGACCCTTGGCGTTCAAAGCCTTGCTCAGTGAAGGACTCGAATAAACAGGGCGTTCCAGTCACCTGGTGCTCTTGGGAGCCTTGGTGTCAAAGCAGCGTCGGAGCCCACTGCACACCGCTTCCACATAACCTACCTTCTGAAGGGACAGACTATTTAACTTGTCCCGCCTTGGGGCCCTCTTGAGGCACTCTTCGGCCTCTTGCAGGCGGCTCCCAGCATCAATTCGATGAGTTGGACCTGGAAGAAAAACATATCAGACGGGCTTGCTGTCACGGGCTGCGCCTCGATGGATTCCGCGCGCAGAACCAGCGGCCTCGGCAGCAGCGGCCCCAAGAGCGGCGGGCAAATCAAGATCGCTCGCGCGCATGCCCACAACGCTTCTTGAACCAGCGCCCCGCGCGACAGCCCTGCCCGTTGGGATGCAGGCGGCGCGGGGGCAGCGGATTCCCCAGCACGTCATCGAGTTCGGGTTGGCGCAGTGTGATTATTCCAACTGGCGCCAGGTGCGCGGGCCCTTCTCGGCGGCGCGCCTGTCGCCCGAGAGGGTCGTCTCGGTCGTCACGGACGGCAGGATTTGGAAGACGCATGAGGGCGTCGACATCGGGGTCTTCGACTTTGCACAGGTGGATATTGATGCGGACGCTGTGGCGAGCCGTCGGGGCGCGGCAGTGGGTTGATGACTGCAAGCAAGCTGTGCTCGAAAATCTCGCAAGCGTCGGCATGCTCGACCCGCTTGCGAGGATGGCGAAGTCGGACACTCTCGGGCGCCATGGGGTGCTTGGCCGTCATGTTCAGGCGTCAGAACCCGCTGCCCTGCGGTCAGAGTCACCGAGTTCTACTGAGATCGGAACATCAGAACCTGCTGGCCAGCAGCTGGCATCATCACGTGCGCTGCTCGAAATGTCAGAACCTGCCGGTCAGCGGTCGGCGTCGCCATGCACTGCTGAACTCGGCCGCTGGGCAGCGGCCCTCGCCGCAAGCTGCGGAAGCTTGCTCGGTTGTGCGACTCGCGTCTAAGGACATGGGCTACGTGGCATCCGTCATCGTCGACGGCCAGTGGTCGCCACGCCGCAAGTACGAGTGCGGCATGGCCCTCGACGACGAGCGCCTCCTCCGCGGCGAGGCGGGCACGCTCCTCCATAGGCACTGCTGCTGCATTGGGTGGCTCGGCGAGCTCCAGCTACCGAGCAAGATGCGCGACCTGCAGATGCGAGCCGACCTGCCCGAGGCGAAGGTGCTGCTCGAGAGGGCGCAGCGGCCGTTGTCCACAGGCCTAGCGCCTAGCGAGGCCAGCACGGGTGCCAGAGGTGCAGCCGCTGGATTGGCCGACATGAAGACTGCCTGCCGCTGGGGGAGCTGTTCTTGGATGGCTCAGCGCACGAGGGCGACTGCGGCAGGTGCGCGGGCGTCGGCTAGGCGACCATTGCCCTGCTGGCCAACGCCGAGGAGTTCAGGGTGGGCATCTCGGGCGTCCTGCGCGAGGCTTTCGTGGACATCAACGGCGGGGGCTCTCAGCACAGCTGGCGGTGCTGCAGTTCGCGGCGCCGCCCACCACCGCCATCGCGGACAACAACTCGCGCTCGCGGGCCTCACGGACCACGGGAGCGCCAAGACCGCGAGTTTCGGCCACGCGCGGTCGCGCCTGTGGCGCAAGGGGCGGAGGCTGCCGCACGAGTTCGGCGGCTCGTGCGAGGCTGGCCTCACGATGCGGAATGTGCCTGCGCGCCAATCTCGGCGGTCGGTGGTCGATGGTGGCCGCATCACGCACCGGAGCTGGCATAGCAACCAGTTCGCATACAAGGCGGCGAAGAGTGCCGCTGCCCATGGCCGTCTGCCACCAGATGCGCGCCGCAAGCTGTTCAAGGCCAACAAGCCCGTGGAGGGCGCGGCGATGTGGGTCTCGGCGGTGGACACGGCGCTCGGCGGCAGAGACGTCACGCGCCGCGCCGCCAAGCCGAACCAGCCTGCGCCGGGGGCCGCGGCTGCTGCCGCCGCTGCTGCGCCGCGCCTGCTCTGCGACCTTCGTGGCCCCGAGGGGAAGCGGCGTTGTGCTCGCTGCCGTTGGGCGGAACGCTTGGGCGAGTACCCAATCTCCATCGTGCAGGCCGCCCTGGCGCACGACAGCGTGCTGGAGGAGAGCGGCGCCCAAGTGCCATCGCCTGGTCGAGATCAAGCCGTTGGCCGATGCGGCTTGGTCCGCGACCTGCCCATGATCGCATGCCTGGGCTGCGGGGCGACTGGGGCAGCGCGGAGTGGCAGCTTCAAGCATGCGCGCGGCCCGCCCTCATTGAAGGGCAAAAGCGCGCTCTCGCGGCTCGGCAAGAGTCTCCGCCCGTGCGTGCCGCAGAAGATCGTCGAGGAGCTGTTGGAGCTGGGCTAGCGGCGGCTGCGTGCCGCTGAGCTGGCCAGGCGCGCGACCACGGCCGCGCATGCGATGGGAGACACCACCATCCCCTCTGAGGCGCGCGCATCCTCGTTCTTCTCCATCCCTGTATACATCCGCCACTGTGCCTTCAGCACGTAGCGGAATGCCCCCAGGCTCGTGCAGCCCTGAGAGGTTAAGGGCTCGTAAAATTCTTTAGAGGCAAGACACTCGGTTTCACGGGCGCTCATAGTACCAGACGCTGCCGGGGTGTGTCGGCTGGGCCTCTGAGGCGCTGATTCTGCCCATCAGGGCGAAGAGGGCCCCAAGAAGCTCCTAGCAAGGTCCAACAGGCATCCGAGACGGCCCAAGAGCGTTCCAAGACGCCCAAGATGGCCTCCAGACGGTGTTCGAGGCCTCAAGAACGCCCCAGAATGCCTCTAAGAGCGCTACAAAGAAAGCCCCAAGAGGCACAAATCGTGAATTCCATTTGGGGAATATGCAGTTTTAGCATTTACGACGTTCCGGCCTTACAGTGTTCAAGACGGCCCAAGAGGCCCCCAAAATCGAACCAAGACAACCCAACAGGCCCCCAAGACGGCCCAAAAGGACCCCAAGACGGCCCAAGAGGCGCCCAAGACGACCCAAGAGAGCCCAATGCAGCTCCAAGAGGGGGAGCACTAACCGACAATTCGAGCTTTCCGCCCCAAGATGCCCCCAGGAGTCCCCAAGAGGCCCCCAAGTCCCCAAGAGGCGCCCAAGAGGCCCCCAGGACGCCCCCAAAGGCCCCAAAACGGCCCCAAGAGGCTTCAAAACTGCCTCCAAGTGGCCCCCGAGAGGCCTCCCACGACATCCCAACGAACATCCAAGAGGCCCATGACCCACAAACCAGACACGGTGTCGGGATGGGCCGAAGGCTTAGATAACTCTCCCCCTCGCATCACGACACGTGTCGGTAGGGCGGACTGGGCGTTCCGCCTGAGACTTCCTCACTATGTATGATCACGGCGCTGAACAATTGCACCAAATTCATGGATGGAAGGCGACCCGTTTTCAAAATGTGATTCCCGCCTGAGCACACGGCTGCTTTTTGTGATGGGATTCTCGCTCTAGCGCGGCGAACGTTCGTCCTAAAAGTGTGCAAGTGCTTTACGGATGGAGGGCGGCACGCGCACATTCGTATTACAAATGTACACCCGTTTCAATGATTCGTATGGTTGACGGTTGACGTTCCAGGAACGGTGCTCCAGCACCAGGGCGGTCAGGGCGCAACAACCACGTTGATTCGCGGTGTTACAATTCCAAGAACGGTGTTCTGGCACGATTCGAGGCCGTCAAGACGCATCAATAAAGTTGAACCGCGTCACTTAAGTCCCAAGAATGGTGTTTTGGCACGTGTGGGGATTCTCAGACGGTTGTCTTCAAACGGGCTGCTTCCGGCAGCGAAAATGAATTATTGCACTCAAGGGCTTTCGAAAACTGAATGTGTGGAGAGGGTGTATTGCAACATCGTTGATGCGTCTTGGGTTTACACTGTTCCTCCTCGCCCTCCTCCCCCTCCTCCTCCTCCTCCTCCTCCTCCTCCTCCTCCTCCTCCTCCTCCCCCTCCTCCTCCTCCTCCTCCTCCTCCTCCTCCTCCCCCTCCCCCTCCTCCTCCTCCTCCTCCTCATCCCACCTCATCCCACCCACTTCCTTGACTCCAATCTCGGGGCCGGGCGGCCCGACCGCGATGAACCCGCCTCCTGCTTTTCGGCGTAGCGGTGTTCGTCCATCGCCTCATGGGAGACTTGGAGGCAGCAATGCGGGTCCGCGAAGAACACGGTGCAGAAGAGTTCGTTCGCCTCCCAACGAGGTGGAGGACGACGAGGACCAGAAATATGAGGGGCAAGTTTGGGGGGGGACCACCACGGGGCAGGAAGGGGACATCGACCTGTAATCGGCGACACACGATTGGCCCCCGATAACGAATCCACACGTTCGGGGTGGGGCACGAGGCCACTATCGGCGAAAGTGGGTGACTGGGGGGCGATGCGTTCCCTTTGCACCTATCCCACCCGAGCGTTGTTCCCGAGAGGTGGAGGCATGACTGGGCCTAGAGGGGCGGACGCGGCGGCACGAGCACGACCAAGAGGAGAGGAGAAGAGGTCAAGATCCCAAGAAAGCGGGCGCACATCCTGGCGAACTAGACGAGGCACCGACAAACCTAGACCTGGCCACGGCGGCGGGAAAGCACGCCTAAGACGCGCAGCTGTGGATGAAACCTCGGGCGGCGTGGGTGCGGAGCGCCTGCGCACGATGCCTTGCGAGGAGGGCTTCTCGAGCCGCTGTGGGACCGCACGACACCCTCGTTCGCGGGCAATTGAACGCGGCATGGAGTTCATCGAGAGCGAGCCCGCTCGAGAGAAGCGCAGCAGTACCAGACATGGAAGCAGCATCAGATACACAGAAGCTGCCAAACAATAGCCACCCCAGTCCGAAAGAAGAGAAGAGAGGGAGTCTCGGTCACAAAGAGCATGCACGGGCAACTCATACAATTTGGGAGTTCGCTTCCTCCTCAAGCGTAGCATCCGGACCTATTGCATTGACGACCTCGCCGAAATGGCGGGAACTGGCCCACGCGTTAGCCAAAATTTTCAAGGCCAGATGCATTACACGACTCGACCGTACGGCCCACCACACAAAGAAAAATCCTCGACAAATCCGCGTGGTCTCATGACGTAAGGGGGCCCGCAGTTAAGACGAGCCCTCACGAACGCAGAAATGGAGACAGGGGGAAGGGAGACAACAGAACCTTCGCAAGTTTGCTCAGAATCCCAAACCATAAGTTCGACGGAACCAAGGGAATCGGAACCAAGGGGTCGAAGTTCCTGAGCATATTGACGAGCGTGGAGAAAGATACGCGTGAGTAGCCATGTGAAGCAGGGCTTGTTCACGTGCTTCAGAAGACTCCGACGGACTCCGACGTGGTAAGTCCATCAAACTCACCACGCGAGCTTGAGAATTCTCCAGGGTGTAGAACAGCGTTGAACTGGGCAGCACGGGTATGGTGCACGAGAGATCGGGCAGAACAGGCGGTCCCATATAAATCGAAATCCCAAAGGAGGGGATGACGGGAAGCCACGGGCAGTTGCTGGACAACACACAAGCGCAACGCAATCGTGTAGAAAAACTGAGCGACATGCTGGAATGCAGGCTGACAGCATATATTACACATGCGCACGTTACCAGCGAGTCCTAAGCAGAGGGGTTCGACGTGCGTAGAGAATGTCAAATGGGCGCGAATGGGGAGAAATCCAGGAGATGCCCCCCCCCAGACAGAAAACACAATCCAACCAATACTAATATACTAATTACTTGTCCGAGCGACTCTTCTTGGCGGAAAACACAGAGATACTTGCCCGAGCGGCCAGTCTTGCACAACATAACAAAAACAAAACAAGGAACATATAATACCGGAGAAAAAAAACCAATTACATATTTGTTGGGGCAATGGGGCTATATGGGCTATATGGCTATAGGGGTATAGTGATATAGGGCTATTGGGCTATTGGGCTATAGAACCTTAGGGCTATAGGGCTACAGCGCTATAGAGCTATAGGGCTATAGGGCTATAGGGCTCTAGAGCTATAGGGCTCTAGGGCTCTAGGGCTATAGGGCCATAGTGCTATACGGCTGTAGGGCTATAGGGCTACTGAGCTATTGGGCTATTGGGCTATTGGGCACCCCCGGGCACCCGGGAACCCCCGGGCGCCTGGGCACCCGGCCACCCGGGCCCGGCCACCGAAATCGGCCACGCACCTCACCAGCCACCTGGGCACCCGGGCACCGCCGGGCACCCGGGCACCCGGGCACCCAGGCACCCAGGCCCGGCCACCGAAATCGGCGACAAACCTCACCTAACCCTTTAACCCGCTAGGACCCCTACAGAGGCAAGCTCTGATTGGGGAACATAGATACTCGGCCGAAACTGGTACACCAATCAGTTGTTCCTGCGGCCCTGCCGAAAGGCAACTTCAGCTCTCACAGGCAGTAACACGAAGTCCCACCAGCCCTCTGGGCTTAGGTGGTATAACGCGTTTTTTCTTCTCTCTTCCACTGAAACCCCTCCCCCCACCCCCTCCCCTGGGCCAGGAAGGGGGGGTACCGAGGCGTTAGAGTGTCCAAGATGGCCCAAGATTGCTCCAAGAGGGCTTCGATGTCGCAAGATGGCCTCCAAGATGGCCCATGCTACTTCAAGATGGGTCAAGATAGCCTCCGACATACCCCCAAGAGGCCCCAAGACAGCCCCAAGACGGATCCAAGTGCCCTTCGAGCCCTCCACGGCGCCCTCCAAGATGCCAAAACCGTTGAAAAGCCTAAGGAAAATCACTGTTTTGGGCATTATCGCCTTTTCGCTTCCGATGGCCTTTGGAAGCCTCAAGACGGCCCCAAGATGGAGCAAAAGAGGCTCAAGAGGGGCCCAAGAAGGCCAAAGACGGCCCCAAGATCGCCCAAGAGGCGCCCAAGAGCGCTCCAAGAGGGCCCCAAGATGCGGTTTGAGAGCCTCCGGGGGGGGGGGGGGGAGGAGGCGATTTCCCCCCCCCCCCCCCCCCTTCGCTCTTTTTGAGACATGGTGCCCAAGACGGCCCCAAGAGGCCTCCCAGACCCCCCAAAGAGCCCCGAGAGGGCTCCAAGACTCCCCCAAAAGATCCTCAAGAGGGCCCCAAGAAGGCCTCATGAGGACCCCAAGAGGGCCCCACGATGGCGCCAACATGGCATTACGAGAATTCGAAGAGCTTCTCACCACAACATATCCTCAAAGCTCGATTTTTCGTCCTGCTTGTCATCGTCCGTTCCGTCCTTGCGTCTTTCGTGCCGCCTCCCTGCCCTCTTCATCCTCTTCGCGCCGCGTTCCTCCTGTTCCTCCTCCTTCCCCTCGTCCTGTTCTGTTTGTCCTCCTCCTCCTCCTCCTCCTCCTCCTCCTCCTCCTCCTCCTCCCTCTCCCCTCCTCCTCCTCTCCTCCTCCCCCTCCCCCTCCT